TGTTTAATTTCCATGACTTTGTGTAGAGATGAGAGTTTCTGTTGGGGTTGATTTCTATTTTTATTCCACTGTGATCTGAGAAGATGCATGGTATAATTTCTATTTTTTTAAATTTTTTGAGACATGCTTTGTGTCCTAGAATATGGTCAATCTTGGAGAATGTCCCGTTAGCTGATGATAATAATGTATATTCAGTGGTTTTGGGGTAGAATGTCCTGTAAATATCAGTCGGGCCCATTTGTTCTAGAGTTCTGTTTAAGTCCATTATTTCTTTGTTAATTTTCTGTTTGGAGGATCTGTCCTGTGCTGTCAGTGGGGTGTTGAAGTCTCTGATTATGGTGTTGCTGTTTATCAATTTGTTTAGATCAAGTAGAGTTTGCTTTATGAATCTGGGTGCACCTAAGTTGGGTGCATACATATTTAGAATTGTTATGTCTTCTTGTTGAACTGTACCCTTCACCATTATATAGTGAGCCTCTTTGTCTTTCATTAGTTTTGTTGATTTAAAAACTAAGTTATCTGAGATCAAAAGTGCCACCCCAGCCTTCTTTTGGCCTCCATTTGCTTGAAATATTGATTTCCACCCCTTTACCTTGAGTCTAAATGCATCCTTGTGGGTTAGATGCATTTCCTGAAGACAGTAGATACTTGGCTTGTATTTTTTATCCATTCGGCCAGCCTATGTCTCTTGAGAGGGGAGTTCAAGCCATTCACATTTATTGAGAGAACTGATAATTGGAGCAAATTACTGTTCATTCTGTTGGGTTGCATTTTGTTGCTTTGTTTTCTCTCTTTAGCCATTGTGGAATCTAGCCTTTGATCTTTAACTTTTGAGTCGTTTTATATTCATGAGTGTTTATTGTGCTGATCCTCGTGCAGTTCTGTTTTGAGTACTTCTTGGAGGGATGGTCTTTTCTTGGTGAATTCTCTCAGTCTTTCCTTATCTGAAATGTCTTTATTTCTCCTCATATACAAAACTTGGTTTTGCAGAGTACAAGATTCTAGGCTGGGCATTTTTCTGTTTCAGAAGAGTGTGTATGGGGCCTCAGTCTCTTCTTGCTTGTAAGGTTTCAGTTGAGAAGTCTGGTGTTATTCTGATGGGCTTTCCTTTGTATGTTAGTTGTTTTTTTCACCTTACAGCTCATAGAAGGGCCTCTTTATTGGATATTTTGGTCAATGTGATGACTGCATGTCGTGGCGTCTTCCTATTTGCATTGAATCTCCCAGGGGTCCTTTAGGCTTCTTGTATCTGTATATCTAGATTTTTAGCACGGCCTGGGAAATTCTCCTCTATTACATCTTCAAATAGCTTATCTAGCCCTTGCCTGTTTTCTTCTTCACCTTCCGGAACCCCTATCACCCTCAGGTTCGGTGTTTTCACATAATCCCACATTTCTTGTAGGCTTATTTCTTTTCTTTTAATTTTCTGCTCGATCTCTGTGACTGACTTATTTAATTGGAAGGAGTTATCTTCAGTCTCTGAGATTCTTTCTTTCGTTTGATCTACCCTGTACTTGAGGCTTTCCACTGTGTTTTGTAGTTCCCTGAATAAGTCCTTCATTTCCAGGATATCGGCTTGATTTTTCTTTAATATTTCAATTCCTTCCAAGTCCTGGATTTATTTTTGTGGTTTCTTTGTGTTGGTCATCCATTTTTTCTTGCATATCATTGAGTTTTCTTACAATCCATGTTTGAAATTCTTCTTCTGTTATTTTAGTGTTCTGAGTTTGGTTAATGTCCATTGCTAGAGAGCTATTGTTCCTCTTTGAGGATGTGCTTTCTGTTTGGTTCTTCATACTTCCAGAGTTCTTTTGCTGGTTCCTTCCCTCCTGGATCAGTTGTTCCTTCTTGCCTTTAGATTTTTGTTCGGATAATCACACACCCTGTTTAGTCTCTGAGCCAGTAGGTGGTGTTTGTGGGTGAGATTCAACCACACCCTTTATGATGAGTCTGTAGATGCAGTAAAAGGGTGTGCAGAATGACCTCCCTGTCAGTAGATGGCACTCGCTGGGAGGAGTGAGCTGCAGTGCTGTTTTTGGGTCCTATTATCAGTTCTTGTTCCTCTGGAGAGGCCCTCTTGTGCCTCGAGTGGTGGGTGGGGTCCTGGGACTTCCAGGTGTCCTTATTCTCCACCTCAGTGGGGGCAGGTCCGGGAGTGAGTCTGGGCGGAGCTGGGTTAGGTAAGCCTGCCTTCAGGCTCCACAAATGCTGTCAGCAGGGGTCAAAGGTATGTTCTTTGTTTCTGTGTAAAGCTGCCGGGAGGGCCTGAGATGGCTCCACTCTGCTGAAAAGGCCTTGTTGCTGGTCTCCGAGACTCTCGGGGACCTTTCTCCTTCCAGTTCTCCTCTGCAACATTTTCCCGTGGAGTCTCCTGTAGATTTAGGCACCCTTCCTTCTGATCGTCATCCGATGTATGTTTTTCTGCTAGTTTATTTTTTTCACTTTCTTCTAAAATCTGTCTTTTTTGCAGAGACACTCTGACTAGCGGCTTTTCTTATCCGCCATCTTGGCTCCTCCTCCTACTGGACGTTTTTAAACATTAATATTTGAGAAGATGCTGTTGTTACTAGTAAATGTGACATTCAAAAGAAAGCAGAGATACTGTCTGCTAAGAAAAATGTAGAAGTGTGGCGTTAAGGGTAAATATTGAAAAGTAATCTCACACAGCTATTAGAGAGCAAAGGACAGGGCTCTTACATGTTTTTAACCACATAATTATACATTACTCAGCAATTTCCTGATGAGTATCCACTTTTGAGAAACACTGTCAGGTACACGAGGAAGTGCATATATAAGCAGTGTTATTTGTAAAAGCAAAATATTAAAAGCCTAAGTGCTTATTAATAGGGGAATTCACAAACTATGGGATGTCTAAATCATGGAATACTATGTCATAGTACATTTTTAAATAAAATACTCTGTGTGGGCCAGCATAAAAAAACTCCAATATAGTATTGAATTAAGAATAAATTATTGATCTGTATATGCATACAAACATACATGGTATTATACCATTCACAGTAAATAAATGTGAACTATTTCCACAGCTAATATGCACACACATAAACACAAACCCGTGTCAGTACTTAGAAAAATGTCTGAAAATGGATAATGCTGGTTCCTTCTAGGAGGAGAACAGGGATTGGGTATAATAACAAAAAAGATTTCAGATGTAGACAAAATGGTTCAATTTTTACAAGAATGAATTCATATGTTGTATCTATAATTTTAAAATATTTAAACAAAATGTTATTCCGAACAATTTCATTTGATATATTTTTCTAACCAGGAAGGAATTAGAAATGAGTCAGATGAATTCAAAGGCGGAGAATGAGAAAGGCCTGGTGGCTCGACTTCAGAAGATGGTTAAAGATCTTCTGGTAATCAGTTATCAAATACATGTGTGTACCTGTATTTAGATCCATGGGTGATAATTGATGCTTCAGTGACAAATTCTCTGTCAAGGTTTCCGTACCCTTAGCCAACCATAGACATAGACAGAAAAGAACAGTGGTTAAGAAGGTAAACTGTGGCATTCCACAGATGTATGACCCTGGGGGAAATTACTTTTTCTTTTATTTCAGTAGATTTAGAGGGAACAAGTGTTTTTTGTTACATGATGAAGTCAGGGCTTTCAGTGTACCCATCACCAGAATAGTGTACATTGTACCCAATAGGTAGATTTTTATCCCTCCCCCTCATTTCTCCTTCTTAGTTTCCATTGTCCATTACACTATTTTATGACTGTGTGTGTGTGTGTGTGTGTGTGTATCCCTTGTTTAGCTACCACGTATAAGTGAGAACAAAGTGGTATTTATTTTTTCTTTCCTGGAATACCTCATTTGGGATGATGGTCTCCAGTTCCATCCAAGTTGTTGCAAAAGACGTTATTTTATTTCTTTTTATGGCTGAGTAGTACTTCATGTACATTAATTTTTAAGCTTAAATTTCCTTATGAGGATAATAAAACTGAATAGCTAATCTGTTGAATGTTTGCTGTGAACCAGGCATTGTGGTAAAATTCTGGACATGTATTTTTTCCCTCATTAATCCTCCTGGCAACATTTGAGCTAATGTTATTAAATGCAACAGTACAGTTAAGTGGTAAGCACAGTGTCTGACACATGGTATGCATTCAGTGTAAACCGTTTAATTTTTATGATAATTATTCTTTGTGATTAGAAGGCAAGTATGCTGAAAATCAGTAAGTTCTACAGCTACTTTTATTAATAGCCTCAAAACATTATTTGATAGTGAATATCTGTAAGTTTTCAGACCATGTGACTATGCTTTACTATATGATGATGTTACAAAGTAATTAAAAATATAAAGTAATTAGGTATACATAGGCACACATGCATCCAGATGGAGATTTTCCCTTTGGAGCTAAATAAATATCTCAGTAACATAACCATTACTCAAAATAATTTTGGAACCCCTTTGTGATAGTTATAGTCTGAGATATTTTGAACCAAATAAGAAAACCAGTCTCACTGCTTTGTGAACATGCTTTATTTTCAGACATGATATTAATCTCCAAGGGATTATCATATTCACCAGACTTGTCTTCAAATGACACTTGACTTTATCCAAAATTTTATTTTATTTTATTTATTTTATTTTTTTTTGAGACAGAGTCTCACTCTTTTGCCCGGGCTAGAGTGAGTACCGTGGCGTCAGTCTAGCTCACAGCAACCTCAAACTCCTGGGCTCAAGCAATCCTCCTGCCTCAGCCTCCCGAGTAGCTGGGACTACAGGCGTGCGCCACCATGGCCGGCTAATTTTTTCTATATATTTTTAGTTGTCCGATTAATTTCTTTCTATTTTTAGTAGAGACGGGGTCTCGTTCTTGCTCAGGCTGGTTTCGAACTCCTGAGCTCAAACAATCCGCCCGCCTCGGCCTCCCAGAGTGCTAGGATTGCAGGTGTGAGCCACCGCGCCCGGCCTATCCAAAATTTTAAAAAAACCAAAATTTTCAATTTATCCAAAAGACGAATTTTCTTACCTTGATGACTTCAAAAGTTTTCTAAAGATAATTTCTGAAGAAATGTTTCAGAAATATTTGGTTCAATGACAATATTGTTTAGGTTAATGAATTAAATCCTGTGATAACTAGTTAGAAGGGGATCACATTTACTTGAATGTGGAAATCATATATTTTTTTAGCCCTGTCTCTGTCACATCTCATCTATAGAACTGATAGACTACTAAGGTGGTATGATCTAGAAATGAGCTTTCTCTAAGCCATGGCACTCTAATTTAATGGAAAGGAAAACATTTTCTAAAATAGATTCTATCCTTTTTTCTCCCCTATCCTAACTCATGCCTAATTACTTAAGGTGATGTTGATTAAACATCAGTGGCTTCACTGTACTATAATATAATGATGCTGTTAAAATTTGTAGAGCTGTTTGCCCTTACACTAAAAGGGTTTGGGGCTCTGAAAGCTCTTATCACTTCTTTTTCTAATACTTTTTCTTCTGATGGCATCAGATTACTATTCACTTTAGTAGTCCACATTCCTTCACCAATTCTAATTTGTTATTTCAAATCTCCTATACTTGAAATCTCCTGCAGATTAGAAAATCAAGTAATCAGTTTTGTTAGAATTGTGTACAAAATTAAATTGATGCTGTTTCTTATGAGTAAATTGCTTGAACTTTGAGATGTTCATTTTATTGATCAGATTTTTGCCCAAGTTTCAGATAGTTAAGATCAGATAAATGCATTCCAGATGAAGAAGGTTTTGTGTATAAAATTTATCATACTATATTTTTATTAGAAATGCTCTTTAAATTTTTTTCTTGTCATATGAAAGACACTTTCCTATTTCTTTGGGAAGTGCTCTTTACTAAGCTTTCCCCACCATGTATATAATTTAATAAACTTGCCTATCAAGGGCTGAAAGATCTGGAAGAACTGAAAATTCTAATTCTGTTCTTGATACTGATTTGGGGCAAAACATTTAACTTCTGTGTATTCTGTTTACTTATAAATTGGGGAGTGAAAGTGTCATTTTTGCTTTCTTAGTTGTAAGAAAGGAAAAAAGAATAGTTAAGCTCTTGAATATAGAATGTGCTATGAATACGTAGTAAAGGTCAAAATTTTTATTGCAATAGACTGAGATACAGGATTTGAAAGACAAACTGGAAGCTGAAAGGACCATTCGAGCCAAGATGGACAGGGAAAGAGCTGACCTTACCCAAGACCTGGCAGACTTGAATGAGAGGCTAGAGGAGGTAGGAGGGGCCAGTTTGGCTCAGTTGGAAATAACTAAGAAACAGGAAATGAAATTCCGGAAGCTTCATTGAGACATGGAAGAGATCACACTGCACTTTGAGACAACTTATGCCTCTTTGAAGAAGAGACATGCAGACAGCCTGGCTGAGCTGGAGGGCCAGGTAGAAAATCTGCAACAGGTCAAGCAGAAACTGGAAAAAGACAAGAGTGACTTGCAGCTAGAAGTGGATGATCTGCTGACCAGTGTTGAGCAGATGACCAGAGCTAAGGTAGACATTCCCAAGCCCTCCTTTTGGGCTTCTGAGCATGGAAGTAGGTAGAAGAGGGGAGGGAAAAGAAAAATAAACCAGTATGGTGACTCAAGATATTTGTTAATGAAGGCTATAGCTCTTCAGACTGAATAGATCAGGCCTAACCCCAGTGGTCATTGTTAAGGTCACACAAAACCATCACTTAAATGTGACCTGACAGTGGCTTCTGGTTTTATCAGAATTCCAGGCCATGTTCCTTATAGATCTTTCTGGTGATGGCAAAAGTAAGTGGGCTAAAAAAGGGAAGCTACTAGCTATGTATCTCTTGAAGATACATGGCTCAGATACTTCTAGAGCCTAGTAGAATGAATGGTGGACACAAACAGCTTTGCTGAGAGGAAGAAACTTTTTTTTTTCTCATGCCCTCTAGCATCTCTTTATCCAGATAGCACTAGAAGAAAGTTTCATCCCATGTTCTTTTTGTGCTGAGCCCATTAACCTGTACACTGAAAACTCTCATGTCAAATGGTTACTATCAGATGATGGGTAACAGTGACCCTACCTTTAGCTAGTTGAGAGGAGCTTTGCTTTAGGTTAAGCAGAGCAAATGGTTGTTGCTGCAACCTCTGCTCCTCCTAAGCAAAATTTGTAATGTCACCTGGAAACGACATGACCCAACAATAAAGCTTGCTCTGCATGGACTATGGCCGGAAAAATATAGAATATCTTCAGAGATATGGAGTGGTTTCCAAAATGTTTAACATCAATTTCTTTTAAAGACCACACTGAGTAGAAACAGTTACCCTGCTTCTCTTTCCATGAACCCGGTGCCTTAGTTCATTCCTGCTTCTGTAACAAAATACCACAGGCTGAGTAAATTATAAATAATAGAAACTTATTTCTCACAGTTCTGGAGACTGGGAAGTCCAATATCAAGGCACTAGCAGATTTGGTGTCTGGTCAGGGAGCTCTACTTCAAAGATGATGCCTCTTGTCTGTGTCCTTACATGGCAGAAGGGGAAAAGAGACAAATCCTCTCTTGTACCTTTTTTATAAGGTCACTAATTCCATTCATGAGGGCTCTGTCCCAATGAAGGAAGGAAAGCCTCTTGAACTCACCAAGTGGGTTCTTGGCTTCATGCAGGAATGAACTCAAGAGTGAGCTAACTAGCTACAGAAAGGTTTGTTGAGAGAGGAAGACAACTACTCCACAGACAGAATAGTTGTCCTCTCTTGAGGAGTAGGGGGACCACTTATGGGGCAATGGTAACATTTTTATGTGTTCAAACACCCCATTGGGAAACAGCCATACATGACCAGCATTGTCTTGAGGTCAGGCCATAAAGGTTAATCATAAACTGCTGTCACACAAAGGAAAGTGCAAACAAGTTTGTAAGGCATCCAGCTTAGCAACTCATCAGTCCTCGGGTGGTCCCAGGCCGGTGACTCGCTGGCAACTTCCTTGTTCAGGATGGTTAGGGTCTGGTATCAGTCAAAATGGCTGCAGTCAGGCTGTCTAGACCTTCTTTGCCTTATCCCTACGTTATTCTCACAAGAAAAATACATTCATTCCATCTCTAGAGCCCCCAAAGCCTTAACTCATTCCAGCACCATCTCAAAAGTCTAAAGTCCATCCTCATCTAAATCAGAAATGGGTGAAACTTGAGGCATGATTCATCCTGAGGCAAATTCCCCCTGCAGCTGCGAGCCTGTGAAAACAAATTAGGTGCTTCCATGATACAATGAAGGGACAGACATAGGATAGACATTCCCATTCAAAAAGGAAGAAATAGGAAAGAAAAAGAGACAATGAAGGGCTAAATCCAAGACTGGAAAAACCAAGCAACATTCAATCTTGAAAGTTGGGAATAATCCTTTGACTCTGTCCTATCTTCTGGAAACACTGGGTAGAAGTTGAGCCTCCAAGACCCTGCGTAGCCCTGCCCCATGGCTTTGCTGGGTGCACCCACATGGCAGCTCTCAGGGATTGGAGTTGGGTGTCTGTGGCTTTCTCAGGCTGGTGCATACTGGTGGCTGTACAGGTCTGGGTTCTTAGAGGTGGCCCTACCCTCAGGGATCCACTAAGCATTGCCCTAGTGGGGGCTTTCTGTGCAGCCCCACCCTATGGCAGTTCTCCATCTGGGTCCCAAAGTTCTCCAAGGCATCCTTTCAATCTAGGTGGAGGAGCTCTGCCTCCACAGTTCCTGCAGAGTTAGCCCCACATGGATGCCAACAAGTTTTACTGCTTGTGTCCTTTGGAGCAGCAGCCTGAGCTGCACCTGGGTCTGCTTCAGCCACAGCTGGGATGGCAGAGGAGTGCTGTTCTGGCAAGTGTGGAGTAGAGACTTGAGGTGCTCCTGGACAGCAAGCCCAGCGGTCCAATGGGCAGCCTGGGCCCCTTCTTTAAAACTTTCCTGCCTTCAAGGCCTTGACCTCTGGGCCTGTGATGGGGTGGGGGCAGCTACCAAGGTCTTAGGAATGCCTTTGGGATCATTCTTCCCTTGTCCTGATGAATAGTATTTGACTCTTTCTATCCGTACAAATCTGCTTATCAGACAGTTGGTTGGCTACACTCTTGGTGTTTTTCCAAACATACTTTTTTAATTCTTTACAATCTGGCCATGCTGAGAATTTTCCAAATCTTCAACTTCTGCTTCTCTTTTGATTATAAATTCCATCTTTAATTTATTTCTCTATTCACATTTTACTATAAATAGTCAAGAGAAGCCATGCAGCCCTGAACACCTTGCTTGGAGATTTCTTCCACCAAATATCCTAGTTCATTACTCTCAAGTTCTGGCTTCCACAAAACACTAGGATTCGAACACAGTTCAGTCAAGGTATTTGCCACTTTGTAACAAGAATAGCCTTTTCAGCTGGGCGTGGTGGCTCACGCCTGTAATCCTAGCACTCTGGGAGGCCGAGGCAGGAGGATCGCATGAGCCCAGGAGTTTGAGGTTGCTGTGAGCTACGCTGATGCCACAGCACTCTAGCTCGGGCAACAGAGTGAGACTCTGTCTCAGAAAAAAAAGAATAGCCTTTCTTCCAGTTTCCAATAAGATATTCCTCATTTCTGTCAATAGAATGACTTTTACTGTCCATGTTAGTACCAGGATTCTGATCACAACCACTTCAGTAACCTCTGAGAAGACTAATTTTCTCTCTACAGCTCTCTCCTTCTGAGCCCTCACCAGAATCACTTTAATGCTCCATTCAAGGCAGTGTAGGCTTTTCCTAGTGTGGACCTCTGAACTCTTCCAGCCTTTGCCTGTTGCCTAGTTCTGAAGCTGCTTTCATATTTTTAGGTATTTTTTTTACAGCAGCACCCTCACTTCTTGATATCAATTTCTGTCTTAGTCTGATTGCGCTACTATAACAAAATAGCTGAGACTGGATAACTTATAAATAACAGAAATTTATTTCTCCCAATTCTGGTGGCCGAGAAGTCCAAGATCAAGGTACTGGCAGATTTGTTGTCTGGTGAGGAATCTCTGCTTCAAAAATGGTGCCTCTTACTGCATCCTCACATGGCAGAAGGACAAAAGGGAAAAAGAGATGAACATTCCCTTGCACCTCTTTTACAAGGTCACTGATTCCATTCAGGAGGGCCTCCTCCCTCATGATTCGATCACCTCCTAAAGGCCTGCCTCTTAATCCTAATCACATTGGTGACTAAGTTTCAACATGTGAATTTAGGGGAGACATTTCAGACCACAGCATCCTGCCACCCTACCCCCCACTTATCTTAGAACATAAATCTAGTGAGGACTTAGGCCTTGTCTTTCTCCTGTCTCTTCTGTGTTCTGCGGTTCTGTTTTTCACTGGGCACTGAAGGAAGACATTCTAGCTCCATGCCCTGTAGGCCTCATTTGTATTCTTCTGTGGCCCAAGTGAGGCCCTAGAAGTCCTTATTCTGACCTTCCTCTGTACCTCTCCCTCCTTCTTGGGAACTCTTCTGTTTCCGTACGTGTTAGTAGGCAGCCAAAAGATTCTAAAGCTGTTAAGTTCACTGTAAGTCCATACTAATTAGATATGACTTTCATATTTTCCAATTTCCTCTAGACTTTGCTGCTCAGAAGTTCTTTATTCATCTAATTCACTTCCTGTTTTGTTTTATAAAAAATCCTTCCTTAGATTCTAATCTTGCCTTTCTGAATCCTTCCTTTCAATAAATAAGACCTGATAAGATCAAGACTATTCAGTATCACTTCTCTCTTTACCTTATACATTTGTCTTTATTCTTAATTATCCCTTTCTTCTTGTCCCTAAGAAGAAAATGTTCTTCCAAATAACCGTGATTCACAGATTCCAGGAAACAAAACCAAATCCAAATAAAGACCTTTTTCTCAGACATTAGAGATGGTGTCTTGAGAGGAAAGCAAAGTCTGTTTATATCTGTCTTATTCTCTCTGACAAAAGAATAGTCTTTATCCCTTGCTGTACAACAAATCACCCAAGAACCTTGTCATGCAAAATAAAACTTTACTATTATTTCTCTTGGTTCTGGGTGTTGGAAGGATCAGCTCATTTGGTTGCAGTGAGATGACGGTTGAGGCTGGAGTTATCTGAAGGTTTCTCTGTTCACATGTCTGGGTCTTGGGTTGGGACAGCTAAAACAGCTGGAGGCTGGTTGCAAATCTCTCTCCATGTGGCTAGCGTGGGCTTCCTCACATCATGGCAGCCACAGGAGTTGAACTTCTTACACAGCAATTCAGGGTATTAAGAGCAAGTGCTCCAAGAGACCAAGGCAGAAATTGCGAAGATTCTTGTGACTTAGACTCACAGTGCAGTGGAGTGACTCTGCATGACTCCTGTCAGTTACAAGTCACAAGGCCAGGAGTCTACATAATGTGAATGTCACAGGGTGTGGCTAATTGGGTGACCATCTTTGGAGACTGTTTCCCAGAAGTAGGTGTATACCTCACTACCTCCTTACTCCTTCAATCCTGCAATCTGTCTTTATTTCCCCTGCTTCCTTAAAACCATTCTCTTAAATTGTTCTCTAAAAGATCAGTAAT